GCCACCACACAGAGACGGATCCTGGACATGGGCTTCAAATGTCATATTCCTCTTGTCAAGCTGCTCCTGAACAACAATGTCAGAAGCGTCTTATCTGGGCTAAAGAAAAACAGAACTGGTCTGTTGCTCAGTGGTCCAAAGTCCTCTTTTCTTTTTTCTTTTTGTAAAAATTTTATTTGGGTTTTCACAATACATAATACAAATAAAATATCTTTTTTTGAGAATAACATGGTCCCAGGTTATCACTTCTCCATACAGACACAAACTCAATTTCATATTCGTCTTTGTGTTCTGTTCCATATCTTATTACTATTTTAACATTTTCTCAATAATTTTTCCCTTCCCTTAATTTTCTCAGCCTTGCTTTTAATTATCTCATTTCTAAATTCAATTATATGTATCTTTTTCTAAGTTTCAATCTTTCTAATCATTATATTTATACTTTTCTCTATCCTGTTTCAATTTCATATTTTCTTTTCTCATTAAACAAAATTTTCCCCTCTAGTTACTAATTGGAGTATGACACCTTTATATCTTTTAATTTTATCCATTCAACTCTTATTTAAACTTCAATTTATGCCTTTACAATTATAACATTCAATATAACACATAACTTCCAGTCAAATTCTGCTTGGTACATTCTTAAAATACACACTAAATTCTTAAAGAGAAAGTATATATAACAATAATAAATAAAATATTTATTCTATTACAATTCACCTCTATCATTAATGTTAGTTTTAATCTTTAACATCTTTAACATTTTTTTCAATGGGATATCATACTTCTTTAGGAACACTTATAATATTTCCATATTTTTTCATATTTCTTTCATATTCCTCTTCCTTTAAATTTTTATAGCTCATTAATAATAATTAAAATGTTCCCCTCCTTTCATAATTTCATTCTCTCATTCTCTTTATTTCATTTATTTATTAACAAACATTCCATTCCATTATAATGACTATTTTATCTATCATTTTAATCACACTTGTTTCATATTTTTGAAGTTCATTTCTATTACTAATATAACAATACTATCTTATGTACCCTTGCAGAATCCCTCTTTCAATTAAGTTTTCACCCATTACCTCTGTGTCTTCTAAATAGGCTTATACCTTTAATCCTTGTATATTTTCCCCGTTATTCAATATCCTGCTTCTGTCCTTTATAATTTCTTTCCCTTTCCCTCTTCCCCCTCTTCTTCTCCCTCCACTTTTTGACCCCTTGTCTCTCTAATTCTGATTCTCTCTTCTGTAATCCTCTCTTCTGTTTCCTCCTAATGTTGTAATTACTTTTCAAACTATTCTTTTTTTGGTTGTTTTTTCAGATCTTAAATTTTTCACTCTCTTTCCCCCCTTTCCTTTCTTTTACCCGCATAGAATTACTTGGTCATTGAAGATGGCTTCTTCTTTGTCCCACCCTTCTTGTTCTACAGGCATTTCTTGTTATTTCTCATAGTTCAGGATCTCCATTTCTAAAAATTGAAATACAAAGCCAAAAATACCTCTTCCTTCTTGTGCATCTTCTTTCTGTTTTTTAAGTTCCATTTTCAGTTCTTCCAAGAGTGATATCATTTTAAAAACCTTTAAACAACTACCCGATTGATTTTAGTCCTTTAGATCCAATAGCCAAAAATCCAAAAATCACCAAGTAATCCAAATAATCCAAAGCTGTTTCTTCTTGCTTCCTTTTTCCACTTTCTCTTCCTGGGGTTCTATCTTGTTACAAAGTTTCAGTTAGAATTTATCTTTTAGGAATCTTGTTAAAGTTTCACTGTTAATTCCTTCACTTCCAGGTGGTCTCCTCCATTTTTCCAGATCCCACCCTTTTGTTTTTTCCTTTTCTCTCCTTTCTTTCTTTTAATTTTTTTTGAAAATCCAGAAATATTTATTATCCCTTTGACATTTTATTTTTAGCTTAAACACCTGTTAATGTCAAAGTGGATTTTTGTTAGTTTCTTACTTAAACCTCTTAGTTGTCAATATGGGAAAGGAAAGAAAAAAACCCAAATCCTTTCCCTCCCCTCTCTCATTTGCCCCTTCAAAATCTTCTTTGGGAGAAATGTTATTCTTTATAGTTCAAATTCCAGGGTACCTTATGTTGTTTCTTTTTCATTTCAACCCAGTCAGCCAAAACTTTCTCTTCTTATCTTCCTCCTGCACATTCTTTTCCAGTCGAGTTCTTTTTTGAGGCCATTTCTGACCACTGTTGCAATCGCCTTCAGGAAAGGGAGTAATGGCCAGCTGGGGAGGAGAGATGTGGCTCTCCTCGACCCTGCTGGCAGTCTCCCCACTCTTCACCACCTCCACAAGGTGGCTTAGCCCTGAAACCAACCGGCTCAGGGCGCTCCAGCGGCAAGCACAGATCAAAACCGCACACGATCACAGATTTCGGTCTGTCACCAAAGAAGCTCAAACCGGAAGTTCCAAAGTCCTCTTTTCTGATGAGAGCAACTTTTGCATCTCATTTGGAAACCAAGGACCCAGAGTCTGGAGGAAGAATGGAGAGGCACACACTGCAAGATGCTTGAAGTCCAGTGTGAAGTTTCCACAGTCTGTGTTCATTTGGAGAGCCATGTCATCTGCTGGTGTTGGTCCACTGTGCTTCATTAAGTCCAGGGTCAATGCAGCTGTCTAGCAGGAGATTTTGGAGAACTTCATGCTTCCTTCAGCAGACAAGCTTTATGGGGATACTGACTTCATTTTCCAGCAGGACTTGGCACCTGCCCACACTGCCAAAAGCACCAAAACCTGGTTAAATGACCATGGGATTACTGTGCTTGATTGGCCAGCAAACTTGCCTGACCTGAACCCCATAGAGAATCTATGGGTCATTGCCAAGAGAAAGATGAGAGACATGAGACCGAACAATGCAGAAGAGCTGAAGGCCGCTATTGAAGCATCCTGGTCTTCCATAACACCTCAGCAGTGCCACAGGCTGATAGCTTCCATGACATGCCACATGGAAGTAATTGCTGCAAAAGGGGCCCAAACCAAGTACTGAGTACATATGCATGCTTCTACTTTTCAGTGGTCCGATATTGTTCTATGTACAATCCTAGTTTTATTGATTGCATGTAATATTCTAATTTTCTGAGATGGTGGATTTGGGGTTTTCATGAGCTGTAAGCCATAATCATCACAATTATGACAAATCATGGCTTGAACTACCTTGCTTTGCATGTAATGAGTCTATCTCATATATTAGTTCCACTTTTTAAGTTGCATTACTGAAATAAATGAACTTTTGCACAATATTCTAATTTTTTGAGTTTCACCTGTATGTGTTGATTTTTTAAAAAAGAAAATGACATGTATGAAGAGCTAATTAATACTGTGATGCTAAAAGGCTTTTGCTGGAACTAAGCCAGGTAACTCTGCCTTACTATAAACATGCTAAGGTGCTTCCAGGTAATCAGTTTTTCTGTAGTCCAGTATTAATAGTTTTCTTAGCTTTTTTGTGGTCTCGTTGATCAAGAAATTTATAGCAAAATGCTGACCAACTAAGGATAACAATGTTATTTCTCATTTTGTGTAATAGTGAGCTAAGAACAGTTCACAGTGCTTAAACAGATTATTTACTTATTTTCCTAAATGGTAAAAAAAATGGGTTTGGATATTTTTGGATATTTTTATGGTTTTTCAGGGGTGATAGTTACACTCCTACAAATTGTAAGTCACTCAGAGTTGCTTTTTTTAGATTGGATCACCAGCTAATAAATAAATATTTAAAATTCAAGAGGTCTATGATTGATATAAACATTTGATAAACATCACCAAAGCTATAGAGTATGTAGAAAATACATTTATCATTTTTAAAGAAAGTCATGTTCATCCAGTTCTTATTCCACTATGTCGGAATCCCCAAAATTAATTCTAAGTATCCATTTGCATAAAATTGTGTAACTGTGCTATGTTCAGGGTCATATTTGGTCCTTGGCATTTGGCTGGTATCAAGGGAAACTTACACCCAGTTAATATATCAAAATAACCTGAATGAATACCCATAATTTATAATATCAATCCACCCTGGATTTATATTGCAAGGTATTACCTATTGCAGATGGGAATACATTTTAGACAGCTGAATCTGTGTTGAATATGAATATGAAAATATAGTTTTAACCCTTAGCTAAATATCCATTTAGACTAAAATAGATTATACATCCATTAAAAATCTGTTTTTTCACATTTTCAATTTTTTCTAATCTTAAAATTCTGCTTTCTATTACCATATTAGACTGACTCTTATTCTATAACACTGATTTTGTATACATTTATTTTTGGGGAGGGGTTGGATGGGATGGCCTTTTAAGACAATATTCTACCGCAATATGTAAGTGTTTTACTTTTTTCCAGGTTGAAAACCTAGAATCTTTTCCTTGATGCAGTCAGTGCCCCTGGTAAAATCTCTAATATGGCAGCTTTAATTTTTGTCATCTGTAACTTAATAACTGAATTATTGCAATGAATGAAGAAGCACTCCTAATTATATGATTAAGGAGGGTAAATACTTTCAGAACATTGATGTAGATGATCTGAGGACGGTCCATGCAGAGTCTAACGAAGGAAATCTGTGTGCAAGACTTTTAAAATAGGGTGATTACAAACTATTAGTGAAACATCTTGGTTTAATCAATTAATGTACCACTACATATTATGAGGTAGAACATTACCATAATTCTCAGATAAGAAAGATTTGTTTCATGGGGTAAACTGAGCTCCTTATTTTCAATCGATATTAGCAAAGAAGGAAAAGGAGAGGCTCATATACTATTGAGGCAAGGAAGTGCTCATATACCATTTTCAAATGTTGATTTATGTACATACCTTAACTAATGGTGAGTAAATAAAAAGAAAACACATTTTAAAAGTACATCAGTGATGATAAGCTAAAAGCTCTTGTGTCAGTTTATTAACATTTTGATAGCTTCCCTTTGTTCTTTCTATAATGTATCTTCTGAAACCCTTTGTCTTATCTTATTTCTCTGAACAAAGGTCTCATTCGATTGCAAGAACTTATTAAGGCTCCATCAAGGTACAATTTGCGGCTAAAAATTCGCCAATTACCCTCTGACACCAAGGATGCCAAGCCCTTGCTCAAGGAGATGAAAAGAGGCAAAGAATTCCATGTCATCTTTGACTGCAGTCATGAGATGGCAGCAGGTATTTTAAAACAGGTAAGCATACCTTTTCCCCTCCCTTTACCCTTTTGCAGATACAATAGACATGTTGAAGTCAGTGTGATATTGATCTATAAGCTACAGCTACATGAAAGCATGGTTCTGTTATTCTTAATGGACTTGAGAGACTTAAAGAACATAGAGGAAAGAATCATGTACAGGGACTCCACCCTCAAATTCTCCCTGTCTCTTGTTTTTCAGTCTTTAGGAAGAGATGTAAAGTTAGCATAAATAATATGTCCCAGAGTACCAGACTGGAAAAAAGAGCTAAAGTCAAGTTCAATCAAATGTGATCTTTCTTAGATGTCCCCATGTGAAGGTGAGGAGATGAGGGAAAGCAGGAGAATTCAGATAGAGCATCAGGATATGAGCATCAGGATATGAGATATTTTCAATACTTTTTTAAAGAACAATTGAAGAAGGCTCTTGAAACAGACAAACTAATTGAAAATACAGAAAACTCATTTTTGAACTAGTCCTTTTCTAAGCTTAATATGCAAAGAAAATAGATTATTCACTATCATAAATATTATAAAAAGCTGGCTGATTTACTTCAAGGTACAAGTCTGCCCATTTCATTTCCAATTATTAATGCACTGTGATTATTTAATTTTACATATTATCTCAAGTGCCGTCATTCAATTTCTTCTGTGCTGAGATGAGTGATCTACTTTGCATCCCAAAAAGAACCTTCACAGGTCCTACTTCACAATGACCTTCTTGCCTCTGTGATGACATGCTGTAGTACCTCTTTGGCAGTTTAACTGATGTTACTTAACATTCACATACAGTACAAGAGGAACTGCTGTAAATGGATTTCATCAAGAAATGTTGTAATTCTGTGGAACTTGATAGCACATAGTTTCTTCTTTGGAGACATTTCGTCTCATCTGTTCTGTGTGCTTGAATTCATCTCCCTTAACAGATCCTGGCTTGAAAATCAGGGAAATTCTAGCTTGAAAAGTTCCCATTTTTTTCTTCATAACAAAATGACTAAGAGTGAAATTAGTTAATCTCTGTCAGTTTCCTCTTTTTTTTTTTCATCATCACAAAATGAACCCCACATCCATGGTATTTATAATTCTTTCTCTGGTTTACAGTGGGAATAAGTTTTTTTTTTTTAATATCCTAGAATCTCTGGCAGCTCAAAACAAAGCAGTGATTTTTATTCCTGGTTCTTGGCATTTTAATTCCCCAGAAGTGAAGAGAACACAACTGGTTTTCAATTTGGTTCAGAGGGACTAAAAAATAAAATTGTGATACCATGGATGTGTCTATTTTGTCATCTGTTCAGATTTATTTTGATTTACATAAAACATTGCATTTTAATTCCAGTTCTCAATGTAAATTCAGTAGTCTCTCAAAGTGCAGATAGTCCTGCACTGACAATCACAATTGCACCCAAGATTTATGTTACTAAGTGAGACATTTGTTAAGTGAGCTTTGTCCCATTTTACTTTTGTGTCACATTTGTTAAGTGAATCACTGCAGTTATTAAGTTAGTAACATGGCTGTTAAGTGAATTTTGTTTCCCCATTGACTTTGCTTGTTAGAAGGTCACAAAAAGGATCACATGACCATGGGACAATGCAAATGTCATAAATATGAGTCAGTTGCCAACATCTGAATCTTGATTATGTGACATTGGGGATGGTGCAACAGTCGGAAATGTGAAAATGGTCATAAGTCCCTTTTTCAGTGCCATTGTAACTTTGAACAGTCATTAAAGGAATTGCTGTAATTTGAGGACTACTTGTATTAGAGAGACTAATGTGGATAAAAGGGATAATTATTTCAAAAGAAAAGAAACTGCTGTGACTATGTTACAAAATCCCAATTAAAAAACACCTGATGATTTATAATTAGTCCAAGCAATGAACCAGCACTCTTGGTGAATTTAATATGCTATTTTAAATTCATAAACTGCATGGTATCTAAGAAACTGAGTGAGTGTATACATTTATACAAACAAATAATAATGTTTTCTAAATCCTGCATACAGAAATGATGACAGATTATTTAGCCTATTCAAGCCCATACCATGTTTTTGATTAACTTTGCTTCAACTTGAGAAGAGTGAAGAGTATATGGGGATCTTCTCATAAATCTTCACATAAATAAATATGGAATAGTGTCAATTCTTCATTTCTTCTCTCCTTCCACCTTCTCGCTAAACTGGGCTGCTAAAATGAAGAAAGCAAAGATAATCAGAAATGTATTGAATGAACTGATATTAAGAACAAAGTTTTGGTTGGAGTCACGTGCTTAGAAACATGTATCTGGCTTGATCCTGTATTTTGAATGTGATTCCATTCATAAAACTAGTAAAAAAATAGATTTTGAAAGATTATAATCCCAGATTTGAGGTTTACTAAAACAAACTTTGTTTATATAACACAAAACATGGTCAATTAAAGCATTTTATTGACTTAACCTGATTACTGGAGTTCACGTAATACAATGAATCATAAATTAAGGGGTTTACTTTAAAAATCCAGTTATAATCTGGTAGAATATGAGCCCCAATAAGCAAATGGCATCAAAACTGGAAGCTTGCATTTATAAGACATTTACAGTAACTATTTCCCTTTTGTTTCTGTGAGATTTCCATTTTAAAAGTTACATGTTAAGTTCTGTTTAAGGATTCTCTTAGAAAAAAACCCAACTTATCATCTTGTCTCCCAGGTTTGATAATTGTGCCACAGTTGTTTACTAGCATAAATGGCCAAATGAGTCACAATGCTGGCGTGCCAACCATGAAAGGCAAAGAAATCCCTGTAAGGGATTGCTAAATGTTTTAGTTGCATAAGGAGGGGAAGGAACATGTATGTACTGTTGAGTCTTCATTGGCGAAATGCTCATAAATAAACTTGCTGATGGGCTCTTGATCTCTATGAGCCCTGTGGTCTCTCTAGATAGGCCTAGATAACAAATAATGGAGTTCTAGAAGATCTCAGATGGATTGGGGATGCTTTTGAACTGACATTCAAACAGCTGCAAAGTGGAAAGGCTGTATGTCTGCAAGTGGCCAAACCTGCAGCATATGTTGCATTTCAAAGTAACAAATCATGTTTTCGTCAGACAGGTTGTACAAATGCAGCCACTATACAAGAAAAGCTATGGAAATCCAACTTTAAATAACCAGGACAGATCATGAGTTCTTAAGAGTCAGCAGCCAGAATCATAGAGTTTTCCACATGCAGACAAAGTGCCATGTTCTACAGCACCCTGCTCCACAAGTTTGCAAAATGAACATTATCTCAGGCGGTTATGACAATTGCACGTGTGCAGTGGCTAAACTTTGAGGGTGCTTTGGTATAATTTTTGCAACCAGAGAGGCAGACAACATTTACATCGCTGAGAACCACAGTTCAGCTGCTTGAGAATGATTATGGCAGTCCCCCTTGTGTTCAAGATACCAACTTTGTTTCTAATTCTTTTACTTTATTATATTTTTGTACCACCTGTCCTGTCTAAGAGACAACTTTTCTGGGGAGAGATAAAAGAAACTTTCTTTCATGATAGAAAAATGGGCCCCATGATAGGAGTCTCTGCATGAGCAATGTTTCTTGTTAGGATGAAAACTCTTTTTTACTCACAAAGAAAAAGTTAGAACCAAGTTTCATGGCCTAAAAAATAAACCTGAAATTGCTGACTCCAGTTAATTTTTCACCTGCATTAAAAGTTTTGGTTCCAAAATGTTTACTAGAGTGAAGCTAGCTTTAAAAAAAAACAACAACCACTGGCAACCAAGCAACCAGAACAATAAGTTAGTCCATCAGCCAAGCTGCATTATTTATAATGTACCAATATGCTGTAAGTGAACAACAAATGTAGCTTTTGATAGTTCCCATGTCAGCAAAAACAAATAGGTTCTTTACAAGGATTAGAGCTGACTGGTGCCCTTGTTTTATAGCTGTCCTTTATACATATAAAAGGTTTTTCACTGCTGAATTATCTTTTTTTTTTTTTTTTTGACAAGTGAGGATTTTCAAGATACCCATGTGCAAAATAAGTAAACAAAATATGTAAAAATAATAAAGTAGCCCCGAAAACAAGTATTTATTGCTCCTTGTGTATGTAATTATAATTATATATAATCTAATTTAAACCATTGTCAGGCTTCAAACTTGCCTTTTCCTAAAGCATTTGATGGACGGCAGTTCAGAAGATCTGTTTTAGCTATGGAATATTTATACTGAAATGTGTTTTAGAAAATGGGGTCAGACTCATTATCCTTAATGCAGCCTTTGCATGTGGCTGAAAGATTGTAGTTTCTTACTTGGCTCCTGGTACTTCATCCACAGTTTACTTACAGATTCATTTTGGATTCTATAGGCTTCCTATGGGGACCAGCCTTCCAGAGCACATGTGGGTGATCTAGCGGCTTCTCCTTTACTTGAATACATTCTGCAAGTTTATGTTCACTGCTCAGTTATTAATCTCCACCAAGATATCATCTCCAATCATTAGAGGTGCATCAGGTCACTATATGCCCCTTTAACTGGAAGCTAGTTTAGGCAGATTTTTGCTTGGTTTAAAATACTTCTTTGGGGTTATTTAATATAATAACAACATCATGAAGGAGAGTGGAATTCTTATTTATTAACCAAAGAGGTGATTAAGAAAAACCTAAAATGGGAAGCTAGAGTTGATTCAGCTTCAAGAGGTAGAAAAAACAACAGTTATTTAATGGTTAGAATTTTTTGAATTATACAAGTTACACTAGAATTTATATACTACGGTATTCATATTAGACATTAATGTAAATAAATTTTGGTTCAGGGCTAATATTTGATGCATATCTTCTTTTTTGTAGAGGGGGATTTAGATTTAATTGCCAGCACTTCTATTTTAGCTTCTTTGACTCAATTGTTTTTAATTTATGTTTCTTCAGTGAGTATTAATTATATAATGAAAAACTATAGAATAAATGCAATTAATGCCACATCTTCCATTAGATTTGTTTGATTTCATATTTGCAACACTAAACAGTCTAATAACAATCTTTCTATCCACAGTTTCGTTTCATTAATTCTTTTAATAGCCAGTTATCTGCTCTAACTGCTTAAGAATGATTTGCTTAGCCTAATTTTAGTATAATTCTAGCCATATACTTTTATGCACATTTTTATCTCATGGGAACTTTCTATTGTTCTCATAGGTGTGATTAAAACAGCAATAAGAATAACTGTAGAAATAATAAAGCGGTGTTACCTAATTTTTAGAAAAGTTAATGTGTATACTGAATTTTTCTTTACAGGGTTTAGCAATGGGAATGATGACAGAATACTACCATTACATTTTTACTACACTGGTAAGTAGCTTTAGAAAAATATGCTGATGGCCTCTAGCATCACTCTAAAGCATTCTTCATTATATTACTTGACAGTAATAGTAAAAATATTTTACTGAAAATAAAATAAGTTTTGTAGGGGAAAAAGTATTTAATGTTACCTTTATTTGGAATTTGATTGCTATGAAAACCCTACGATCTCTGACAAACAAGCTGCTCATAGTTATTTAATGGAGGCACACACCAATAAGAACTGATTACTTCTAGGTTTTGTTCAGCATGCTGTTTTTGATACTAAGGAAGATTGTATTCATAAACAGCAAGTATTCTCAAGCTATAGGTTGAAATCTTTCAGGGATTGCAAGGATGGGTGGAGAAGGCTTCAAGGTCAGTGTAATACTACAGGGGTCGCCAACCTTTTGAACCTCAGGGACCACCAAACTCATAATTTTAGATCCCAGGAACCACTAACTGGTTCTGTGGGTGTGGCCTAATTTGTGGGTGTGGCTTGGTGGTCATGTGACTGGCTGGGCATGGTTTGTATGTAAATATTATAAATATTGATATAAATATTGATTTTTTTTAATAAAAAAGAGCAACTTTTACCCAAAATCAGGCAAAGCAGGCAGGCAGACTGAGTTGCTTACAGAATCACAGATTCATTCAGAAATCTATCTATCTGCCATTGGCTAGCTCAGTCTGTCACATAAACTTTGCTTGCAAGCAAACTCATAAAATTAACTCACAACACACCATGTATGTAAATATTGAATTTTTTATATAAAAAAGCAACTTTTATCCAAAATCAGGCAAAGCTGGCAGATTGAGTTGCTCACAGAATTATTCAGTGATCTATCTGTCTGCCATCAAGCTAGCTCAGTCTCTCAAATTTGCTTGCCGTGATTCTGCACTGAATTTGCTTGCAAGGAAACCTTCAGTCCTAAGGGAGTTTCGGCTATGCTTAGCTTGAAAGCAAGAAATCCAACCATTTTCTGCTTCCTAGCTAATCTAAATCTCCTGGCACAGCAGAACAGCTGATGGTCGGAAAAAGGAAAAATAGCAACTGAGCAGACAAGTTTGCTGTTTAAGGAGTGAGTGGGCGGGGAGGGTTCCCGCAGGCCATGTGGGCTGAGCAGCCTTGTGTTTCTGTGCAGCCTGGATTAATTGCTTTGGAGGGTGTTCTGGGGGTGAGATTTCTCTGTGGCCCACCAAAATTTTCTCGTGGCCCACCTGTTGGCGACCGCTGTAATACTATAAGAGAATATCTGCATCTTGGGTCTGAACCATGGAGTACTTGGTGCTTATTGAGTTTGTTTATTTGTTTTTTTGAGGACATTTTGTTACCCAGTTAGATAACATCACTGCAACTGGATAATGATATGTCTGCAAGCAAATAATCAAGCTCATAGAGAGCACCAACAATTCCTCAGATTATTATATTGCTATATAATTGCTTGCCTGGAGTATCTGTGAGGAGGCACAAAGAGTCATACTCTATCACAGTTTTTCAAAGCTTTGAGGATAACAATGGACATTCCTCCTTCCTGTTTGGTGACTTGAATTGGACTACAGATATAAACCAGGAGAGATTCTGACTCTCTTTGCAATCATGTGGGTTATGCAGGTAGAGTTTAAGAGGTTGTACTTGGATACATTAACTGGGGTTTAAGTTTAAGTTTTTCTCAATAGTGTATTCTCTGGGTGATTTTTCTAACATATTCATTGCTATATCAAATCCATTTGGTTATGTATTGGGAAACCCCTTCAGTTGTAAGCAGATTCATAATATCTATTCTATTGGTTTAAAATTGGATTTACTGCCAGGACATTTTTCATTTTAACCTGTTTAATATACCTATGTAATACTAGAATCTCTTTCAATGAAGCAGAATGAATTGAAGTTATTTATTTATAGTTGCGTAATACTACTAATGTCATTACTACCTATTGCCATTCTTTCATGTGTCCTTGGCAAAGAACAAAGTAGCTAGAAAGGTGCATTTATCATGGTTCCAGTGGTGTGAAAATGGTGAAATTCAATAGGATTGCTCAAGGAGTGGCTACTTTCATCTGCCAGCTTTATTTGTCACCTGTAGATCACTAGCAGAGATCACTAGCATGGATAGTTCTGGAATGTTTGTTTTGATTTGGATGTGCCTGAGTCAATGGTGGGATTCAGCCAGTTCACACCAGTTCAGGAAAACCGGTTGTTAACTTTCTCAGCAGTTTGGTGAACTGGTTATTGGAAGAAATCATTAGGGCAGAGAACTGGTTGTTAAATTATTTGAATCCCAGCACTGATCTGACTCCAATTGATCCTTGATAGCTCACAGCAGAAAACAATAAGACAAATACTGTATATAATCTAAAGGAAATAATAATAAATAGAATAATTATCAGCAGCACATACTCTATTGTACAGCACCCTAGACTAATGTCTAAAGATCTGGTGATTTTCCCTAAAGCCCTTCAGAAGTTCATCAGGATGAAAGCCATTCATATATCAGGAAGACAGGCACTTCAACGGAGAAGGCATGCTTCCAGGTTATGATAGATGGCCATACTTGATCAAAGAAAGCTGCAGCAACTCTATTGGATCAAACTAGCCAGGCTACACTATGGAAGCTAGGTGATCCCTCCAGTAACCAAACTAGGCCATGTCAGATTTTATAGGTCATAACTAGGGCCTTGAATCTACCTGGAAGGAAAACAGAGCCAGTGCAGATCATGAAATGAGGGTAACACATAGCATACCAATGCATACCTATCATCCACTCCATTCTTCAAAGTTTTGTAGCCAGCAGTTAGACTGAGGGAATTACATGTAATGCAGTTCTGGGCCTGTAAGCTGCCTAAATGGGAGAAATAAGCTTCTTTGGCAAAAGAGCAAGGGAACAGTATAATAAGTCAACAAGCTCTATGGAAGAAATAATATAATTAGTAAGGCACAAAAAGTTTTATATCTAGCACTCAATCTTTTGGCCTAATTAAATATTCCCATTTGCTTATTAGTCTTGAAAGAAAGTAAACCCCCCCCCCTTTTTTTTTTCTTTTTCTTTTTCTTGGAGGAACTTCAGAAGTTGACAACTAAGATAATTTGGAATATGCCAGCCAGAAGATAGATATTTTGCTCAATGGAGTCATGTAACTTGTATCACTTTTGGCTCCTCTGCTTTATTAATTACTTCTTACCTGACACAGTAGAAGTCTTGTCCAATAAATTTTCCAGTCACACTGTTTAGCTGCGCTGTTTGGAAGTGTACTTTCTCATGATTGATTTGGAGTCTAATGTAATACCTCATTAATTTTCTCTGAACTGTTGTGCATATTTATTATAGTTTTGAGTAAACAGAAATGTGTTCAAATTGCATAATTACTTATGCAATTGTCCAAGATGGCTTGGAAGCAACCCAGGTTTAAAGAAAAAAGCTTTGAGTCATTATTGCAAGTAGCTTTGCACCTGGCCCTTGTTCAACAAACGTAAATTACAGGGATTTTTGCCATTGCCATTAATGTCATGCAATTCTTTTGCTTATGCCATCTGAATCATTCTATTAATTTTTTTATGGAGAAGGAGGGCATTTTTAAAATATATTTTCAGTTTTACTATCTCCTTACCACACAGTGTAGTTGACGTAAATTGAATTGCTGTACAGGTGATCCAGTCTTTATAACAAGTGGAGCCCCTTATATAAATCTTAACATTTAATAGCAATAGCAATTTAGACTTATATACCATTTCATAGTGCTTTATAGTCTTCTCTACAGACTCTGGTTTACAGAGTCAGAATATTGCCCCGAAAAAATAGTTGTTTGCCCAAACCAGCTGCCTTAAAATAGGAATGAAAGTGCAGCTTAAGAATGAATATAACATAAAATGTAGTATGTGGTACAGGCTCAGAAGAAACAAGTCAATGCTTTAATTAAACTGTGAAAAATGATGTGATTACCTCTCATTCTAATTTGAAACATTAACTGTGTTTGCATTCTTGAATTATCAAAGTGTACATTATCATATTGTACCAGCTCATCCCCACTCCTCCTCCTCCTCCTCCTGCTGTAATAGACAAAAAAACAAAATAAATGAAATGGTAAGGTAAGAATAGAGAATCCAATATTCAGTAAAAAAAACAAAAAAAACTATTTGTGCCTGAGACTGAACATATCCAGAGGACAGTCCTATCCTAACTTCTGATGGTTGTTGCAGTGGCCCAAAGTTTGGCTTCTGTTGGAAAGTTCTTAATCCTGCTCATTAAAAAGGTAGCACAGTATTTCCATGTGAGATACATCTAGGCATGATAAAAGGGAAGATGGGATGGCTAGTTAATATTGTGCCTTCTTTTCTTCCCCCAATGAATAAAGTAATACACTTAATACACTTAGGATAAGCTAAACCAGCATTTGCTAGCTTGACACCTCCAAATGTGCCATCTTTTTATATAAACATTCTGGAGTAATATTCTTAACTGCACTGGAAAGAATTAAATTATTGAAAACAGACCTAGATTACCCCTAGATCTCCCTTCGTTGGGAAAAATAGTGCATGAAATTGAACATTATCTAGAAATGGAGATATTGAAAACAATCAGAATCCCTTCCCACTTGTTCTCCAAATCTGCCTTGGAGATTTGAGAGACAAATGTAGGAAAAGATGAAAGTAGAGAAAATTATAGTAGTTCATCTTAACAGCTCTTTAGCACTCCTTATTTTGGAAAAGATTATCTTGGTCTTCTTTTCTTCATAGTATCGGTTCTTTTCAATCATGTCAAAACTTTTCTGCAGGATTATTTGCTTTCAAGTTTTGGGTTCTGTAGTGCCAGAACATGAGAGTGGCTTGTGTAAGTTACATTGCCATAAATACATTTAGAATTTGTGCTAATATTTCAAGTATGATCTACATAGCGTAGCTTTGAATATGATTTCTGGTAGATGTGTTGATATTTACTCCTATCTTCCATATTATGCATAACAAGCTACCTAAACTTTCTTTATTTCTCTTAAGATGATTGTGAAGGGGAGCAGGAGAGAAATATTATAAATGTAGACAAGCATGAAGTTAGTAATGATGACACCAAAATGACAAAATATGTAGATGTTCCATCATAAAATCCACCTTTTGATACTCGTATCATAACATTGCACACAAATTTATAAAAGAAGGAATTTGTATCATGTCACAAATTTCATTATGTACTTGGCCTGTGTAAGTAAATAAGTAACACGTGCATTTACAAGTTTGAGTTTGTTTGGCTTAGGAACTTCCTTTTGTTTCCTAACATATATATTACAACCAAACATTATAAAAAGATTTATTAGAGCAGAATTATTACATAATCTTTGGGTAATGAAGACTTATGAATTGTTTGCAAATAGCAAAGGTTGTGACTCAGTGATTTTCCTTGACAATCTATAAATGCTCATGTTAATAGCTATGGAATTTTGCTATGACTTAGTGCACCCGTACAAACATCCTACAAGCACCACACATTTGTGGTTTTCATTGGGCATTATTATCAAATAATTTAATTCACAGCTGTACTGGTATCACATATGGTTGTCAAACGCTTCAGAAAGTACACAAATGGTTAGATATATTGTTTTAATATCATTGTTACACATGAGGGGAGAAAAATGTTTGGAAATGGAGAGATTATGTATGGATGAAAGTATCTAAAATATTTTCTCCTTTTCTTTAGGATCTTTTTGCTCTTGATGTGGAGCCTTATCGGTATAGTGGAGTAAATATGACTGGTTTCAGGATTCTAAATACAGAAAATACCCAGGTGGTGTCCATAATTGAAAAGTGGTCTATGGAACGGTTGCAAGCTCCTCCAAAACCCGATTCAGGTTTGCTGGATGGATTTATGACGGTATGAACACCAATTAGCCTACAATTGTCAAATATTTGATATTATTTCATATTTTCCTGTTGTGTATCTTTGACCGTCTAACTGTTCATTAAGATAGATGTCCTCCTTTATGTCTCAGTTCTGGATTTTATCTCAGTTTTTGAATCTGAAAAGTAAAATATCACTCCAACAAATGACTTGAACAGATTGGTAAGATTATGTACCTGACCAAGCCATATACCCCTGCCTCCTATGCTAATGCTAAAATGAACTATATTAAAAGGATCTCTATATTCATGCTTCTGGTTTGTGGTTCTGTTGATAAGCTACTGGTCTGCCCTTTTTTAGTGTTATGCAGCCATAATGGAATAGCAAATGATCATCATTCTTGCTGTGAACCACGTATTGTTATTGATAAGACAAATTCCTATAAAGGTTTTCTAAATCAATCAATCAATCAATCAACCAATCAATGTATTCCTATATCCACAGAAATTGTAAAGTGCATGTCACAGCTCTATAGGACAGCTAGAAAGAAAACTGTGCTGCCAAATACAACATTTATACTGTAATTCCTGAGTTGATGTCAAAAAATTAGTCAGTGAGCATTCCCTAGCAACTCATCTATATGTGTGTGTGTGTGTGTGTGTGTGTGTGTGTGTGTGTGCATTGATGGCATTTCATCCATTGTGGAGCAGGGATCAGATGTGGCTCAGAGCAAACAAAGAGACAGAGTCCAGATCTCTCTTGATAAATGGACACACTTATTCAGCTGAAGAAAGATGGGTTGTCCCATAAAAGAACCCCGAATGTAGTTTGAAACAAGTATATATAGAAGAATATTCTTATTTTTACTTAGTTACATAAGAGGAAGTAGATAAGCTATACAAGTTACAAAAATACTCATATATACCTTCTGTGGTTTTGACCACATGTTTAACCTACAGGCTTGCAGTTTCTTTTGGAACTTTCCACACCCTAAAGCTAAGGCCTGAACTTTAATTCTGTCATTTCAACCTTTGGTCAATTGTCATGATTATCAGAATCCTGATCAACACCATGTTTCCTTTTTGACAATTTCAGCCACTACAAACTTGTATCATTTTATTTTTTGTGCTGAGATTTTTATAATTAAACATTTGTGTTTACAAAAAGAGCCAGGGAGGAGTCCAACTTTGCTTACAAAATAGTCATTGCTAGTATGGGACCACTTCCATTTTTTTAATACATTACGCTTTTATTGCTGAGACATCTCATGTTCTCTTTCTTCATAATGTTACAGGACAATAGGAATCTCATTGAACTTCTCTGTGTCTGGAAAAGAAAGACCCATTATTGGTAGTGGTAATACAGTCATTTATCACTATATAAGTTCTCAGAGCTTATGCATTTCTCTCCTGGCTTTATGTCAGAGCTTTGGTTGGAAATAAAGAAAAAAGGAATTGGATTCATTTATGGAGTCTCATGGCTCAGTTAACCCCTTTAATTGGTTCCTAGGAGCTATCATTGGAGCCTGTCTATTCAGCCACAAAATAATGAAATGTTTTGTGTTTTGTACTCAAGTAGAGTGCCAGTGATGTAAGGCAAAACTTTTCAAGAAAGTCTTATTATGTCTTTCTCTTAGCTATGGAGAGCTTATTTTTGCAGTGGCAAGACTATTACAATTGTTGGAGGCTTTGCTGTGGCACGCAGTATGGATTGTTTCATATTGTGCGTTCATTCTTGTGCAAAGCTGGAGGTTGCTCTTGTATGAAGAATGATAGTGATCGAAAGGAATAGATAGGATAGAAAAAAGAGAGAGACCTCATGGATTATATGCCACTTAGTTACCTGGTCTATACCCATCATTTGGGATTAGAATTATAAAGAGGGATAGAGATTTTTTTTTTTTTACTTAATTGGAAGTTCCCGACCTGTTCTTTGCTCTCTGGAGGAAGGAATTAGATGAATATTAACTCAATGTTTAAATGCCCTCTAAGGCCAAAATTAAACTTGTTTAATTCCCATCTTAAGTGCTTTGATTGAATGAATGAATTATTTAAGCATGCCATTCTGATTCTTGGTGTGACGCAAAGAGGCTTAGGAGACATACAACATAGCATTTTGATGTTGTCTTGTGGTCTTTGGGTGAAAGGTTACCCTTTCCAGTATAAAAGTTAGTGAGTATGAGACTTACTAGAAGGAAGGAATCTTTCATTTATTACATTTATATAGACAACCATCTCAAGTATGTTACTCTGGGCAGATAAGAAAAATGAAATAAAAAAATAAGCTAAGCAGAAATAGTAGCTAAACAGAAATAGTAGCTAAACAACCACAATATCACTAACAATCATTGCAGACAATACAATCAGTTAATGACTCACACACAACACTAGGATCCCAGACTTGATGGAGATACTGGATCTTTAAGGAACTTGCTAGACTCCATATCTGAAGCTTTACTACTTGAACCAATCTATAAATATAAAGCATGCTTTCAAAACAGAGAGGATAATTTTATAAATGAGGATAATTTCATGTCATAAAGAGCTTAGTGATACCTTAATTCCTTTGCATGGAGTGTCTCAGTGAGAAGAAGTAAAAGTTTATGAGACAATTGAATGTCTCATAAATTTTAGAAGAGCTTATAGGAAACATAGAGTACAGTCTTTCTGAATGGGACAGATGTGAATGTGGAGAGATAAATCTCTTGAGTTCGGTTGCTTTTCTGTCAGGAGGAGCTTGCTGATTTTAGTACAATGACATTTTAAACCTTTGTCTGAGGCATTTTAGCTACATGAATTGATTTTGCACTGGAAAGAAAAGCTTTCTAATGAACTGGTTTACATTTGGGCCATGTGTATGACCACTGTAGTTTGATAATTGGTCAATAAAGGTGTGTCACAAATATAGTTACTAACACTTTATGTTTAATGTTAGAAAGAACAAAAACATTTGACCTTTCAGTTCATATACTTTTAAATGAAAAATAAAATGTACTGACTTCTTAAGTCATCCCTGACTTTATTCTGGTTTAAACAACCTGTTTGCCATATAATTTTTAACAGGTATTTTAAAAAATAGTAGCTTCTTATAAACAGTCTAACATTTAAACATTTTCCATTACAAAAAAAAAAATACTCTTGTTGAGAGTGAATTCTTCTCTTGGTTGGATATGGGGGGGGGGGGGAAAGTCACCATTGCTATACTTGTGAGAGAACCTGTTATAAGTCTGCTATTGAGTACTGAAAGCTTGATGGAATTTAAGTAATTTCTTAAATATTCTTCATGCCTTTGTTCCAGATACTATTATAGTAATATACAAATTGTTCTTCAGTCTACCTCACAGCATGCCTTAGAGATTAATTAGCCAATGTTAATATGATACTTTAAAACTATGAAGTACTACATCATTATTAACATAGAAATCAAAGATATTGCCATATTACTTATTGTATGTTAATTACATACTATAACCAGAAAGGATTTGTAAGTTAAAAAGGAAGTTACTTATTAAGGAGAAGGGATTTCTGTAAAATCTTCAATGAAGAATTTTCTGTGAAACTAAAAATAGCTTTCAGACAGTAAATTTAAAGAAATAATTGTTGATATTTGTAAGATCCAAAATCTAGTTTCACATATAAAATAATATTTTATTTCTCAACAATTGGTCAGCTCTAAGAAATATTGATCTTTCTGTCTTTGTGGCTCCTGTAAACTTATTCCTAGTGCTCTATTTCTGAGGCTGACTAAGATGACCATGTCTGGTATCTCCTAGACCAGTGGTTTTTAACCTTTTTGAAAGAATCTCCCCCTTGAGCCATTGAGGAAGTTATCATCGCCCCCCTCCTCCAACATAACCTCTCAATCACAACACTGGGAAATAATTCTTCAATTTATGCAAACACGTTTTTTGTTTTCTTTAAAATTGTCATCAGGACATATTGATGCAAATAATTTATTTCCAGTCTTTTCCCCATATCTCAACTGCGTGAAAAATTCTGATGCCACCCATCACTTTACTCCCAAACTTCGTGAGTGTATTTCATTATTATCTTATTCATTATTATTCATTATTATCTTACATGTATTTCATTATTATCTTATTTATTCAAGACACTTAAATGCAATGACCACTGAAAACAAAATTCAATTGAAAGAAAATGAAATGCCCGAAAAAAACAGTAACATTTAATGATTTAATTACAAGTGAATTTTAAGACAGAAAAAGAAATATAAAAAGGGCATAAGAACAAACCGCAGTGCAGGAACTAAGAATTTCAAGATGAAAACTCTGAAACTAAATTAAGATTCAAGGAAAATATATATTCATGCACACTGTAAAAAGGGTTAAAAAGACACAAAGAAAATTTTTACAGAAGGAAAGCAACAAAAATCAGAGCAACAAATTTAATGGGTAGAGTGATAGAGGCTGCTGCGCAACGCGCATGAAGATGAGCAATGCGTATTCATATATGACTGGCATTCTGTACTGAAGCTAGCTGGAGGAACATTTTAAAACACAGTTCAATCCACTAATAGCGAGTGATTTGATGTTTTTGTACGACAGATATACAGTGGTTCACTGTACAAAAAAAGTCTCAAAAGTGTCCCCAAAACTTCTTGCTCCATCACCCCCATATCTCCCCACTTCCATTCCTTTGCCCCCGCATTGCCCCTTTTCATTCCATCACCCCCCTGAAAAATGAAATCGCCCCCAGGGGGCAATATCACCCAGGTTAAGAACCACTGTCCTAGACAAACATAGCTTGTAGACTAAATGCCAAATCTAGCTAGAATTTAAAAACAACTAAAGCAATTCTTCATTGTTTTCTAAAGTGGCTTGAACAGCATTCTCACAATCATCTTTCTTTCCATTCCATTCTACTGCTCACAGCTTCACACTCTTGCTGTCCCATTCTCTGCCTCTTCTCCTCCATGTCTCCATTGTTTTCTGCATTTACATTCTCCTCCTTTCTATTGCATTACAGGCAGGGGTGGGATTCACCTATTCGCTAGAACCAGTTGTTAACACTCTA